GCTGCAAAACTGTATCCAGTTGTTGTTTGTTTCTTTTTTTTTTTTAATCCAAAGTCTTCAGAGAAGGTGTAGATTACTTTCTGTCGTCACTTTAGAAAAGAGATTCAACAGCTTTTAAAATATAGCACAGCTAATTATTAAAACTTTAAAGTTAAGTTCTTCAGGATACTGCTTAGCGCTTAGTGCCGACAATGCATCAGGAATGGTAGGCTTGAAGACTGATGTTTCAGGCATCCTAAAAAAGGAAAATTAAAGTTTGCAAATTATGTTGAGGACCTGTCACCTCTTAACTTGAGCAATTTAAGGGTCAACTTATTCGCCAATAAGTGTGGATGAACACAGTATTGGTATTTATTAACCTGAAAAAATTTCTAAAAGAAAGGAAAAATTGAAACAATTCCCACAGTTGCATAATATTTGAAATAGGAGAAAATCTGAAATCTGTATGTACACACTGGTTGTCTAAAAAGAAATGTTTATCTAGAATCGTCGACCAATGGAACCTACTTCTTACCTTTCTTGAGGAAGAACTAAATGCTTCTAGAGTTGTTGTAAAAGGCTCTATTGAAAGTAATAAAATACCTCAAGTTAATGGCGATGTAATTATTTCTTCCACTGTTAAAAATAGGAAGAGGAAAATTAAGTAAAATCTGCACCTGCTCTCTGGCAATTCTCAAAATAGTATTAAAAAATGTAAGCATAAAATAAATAAAAAAATCGCTTGACATGGCACATTTTCTGATTATTGTAAGTTAATCTTGTGAAGATAAAGTTAAAAAGTTCAGTGAAAATTTGTTTTTGTCTTCGGACCTTGACAAAGCTTGTTGGTTTCTTGTATGCTCCATTCTGCTATCATTCGGTGTTCTTAATAATTCTACTGTGCAGAATGCCATTACTTCATGTTTTGCAATGAATGATTAGTGATCTAGTTAAAGTATTATTTAATGATTAGGGAAACTGATTATTTTTCTATTATTAGAAGGTACAAGTAATAAGTTTTTTTTTTTTACATGTAAGTATTTTTGCATTTAAGAAATAACTTTCTTAAGTTTTATATACTAATTAGTTACTATTTAAAGTTAATTCATTATTAAAAAATACATTTTCTTTCTACATATTTTTATTATTTAAAAAATCTTTTTGCCATTAAGAAAAGTCTCCTGATTTTTTAGTGTTGGAGGTTTGGAAGTATGGGATCCATCTGGCACATAATGCATCACCTGTCCCCTAAGCTTATTCTCCAGTGATGCATGGGTGGGATGCCTGGCTATAAAAGACGTTCGTAAGGAATGCATTTATGGGACACCCGTTTGGAAAAGGTTAAATATATTATTTTCAGGACAGATAAATGACTACAGTACAAAGTCCAGCAGTTTTCCCCCTTTTGAGAATTTTCTTCTCCATTGCAAAGTCTATGAATAGAGAATGTAGTACTTAAAAAAAAGTATGCTGTAAAAGTAATTTTTTTTCTAGCTACCTAAGATTCCTGTATGTCACTTTCAAGTACCTAGAAAAATCAAGTACTCAACATCAAGACAGTGTTAATATATTGTCATTGACCTGGGTGAATGACGGTTAAAGTTGTCCACAGCCACAATTTCAGACATCGTGCTGGTTGAGGGGATTAGTATTTTTCAGTCTAGCATAAACTGAGTGAAGCTCCAACATATTTATTTGTATAGTGGGATGTTGCTCATACAGGTTTTCTCTTGTTAGCAAAACAGTAGGGTAGGGAGAAATAATTAGATTCCAAGGAAATTAAATTTAGTTAAAATGCCAAATTGAGCTTTTCTTTAACTTTTAATTTGATCCAGCTTATTATTTTTTGCAGGCTGTTATTATTATAACTATTGTATCAAAAGTAAAATTTAAATCTTCAGTTATGTTGAAAAGTTTTTAATTTTGAAGTTACAATGGGTTCTGCAAAAGAAAGTATGTTTCAAAGTGAATGAAACAAAAAATGGATAAAGGCCTCTGTCCCTCTCGATATTATGTGAGTGGTATTGTAAAGTCAAGAGTTAACATCATAAAAAAAAAATGAAAAAGAACCTTTGAATTTTTTGTGGCACTCACTTGTAATGAGTAATGAGAAAAATTTATTTGTAATGCTAAAAGCAATGATCATGGCAAAGTGCTGACTGATTGGGTGAGACATCTTCACAGTTAGGGCAAGCCATTGACATGAAATGCTAATGTCTTAAACCTAATTATTTCATGAGGGAATGGACTTAAAAACTGAGTTTTAATTCCATTTCCTCATGTACTCAATTTTAAGTCGTCCTTTCTATACATATATTCAACAGGTTCATATGGCTAACTATATTTAAAAATTATAGTGTTACAACATTAAAAATTTCAGGTGGAAAAGCTTCAGCTTATACAGAAGCAGCTGAACAGTTTACAGATGAATTCATCAAACAATTTGGCTTCTTTAAAATCTTTTATTCATTGTTATTTATTATTGTGTATGTAATTAAAGTGTCATTGAAAACATCTTAATCTTTGGTTTGAACACATTTTCCATTGTTTAAAAAAAATTCTGATGATGAAATTCATGGGTACTTTTCTGTTTCGCCGGCAGACTTTATTGGTGACAACATACAGTATACACATAAAAAATGTTAACAAATCTTAGTTCTAATAATTTTTTTATTTTGAAGGCATAAACATTTTAATAGTGTTTAAAATTTTGTAAAAAGCCAATAAATAAAGACAATGAATTTGTAAAAAAGACATTAAAATTTACTATGCTTTCATGTTTCAACATCCTGATTCGCCTGTTCGTATAACGTGACCCAGATCTCATCACACGCAAACTATGCTACAAGAAACTAATTATCTCAGTAATTATCTATATTAATTTCAAGTTAAATCTTAGTTTGGAATATAAGTTTAAATGCAAGAATTGCTTCAATTTGTAGGAATAGCTTACTCAGAAATTATGTAAAACCGCAGTGCTTTACTTTGCTGGTGAATCGCTTCAGAATTGATGACTTTAACCCTTGACTTTGCCTTTACTAGATTTTCGTCTTCGGGTGAGCGGTGTGGTTGCATCCTAATTGACTTAATTACCGTGAATGGTCTTGGGGAATAAAATTGACTTATCTGGTAAAAATTCTATGTAGTTTTATGCCAGTACAGTCAAATATCGAAAATCCGCCGACCTGAAATGCGCCAACTCCTGAAATCCACGTTGCCTCTCAAAATATAAACATTCAGTTTATAGGTTTCGGAAACCGCAACATTGAGTACGAAATATCGAAGAAAAAGTACTTACCGAATAATAATGAGTCATAACGGAAATGCCAAATTATTGACATCATGATAAAAGTTTTTCCCCTCTAATCTGCATCGAGGTAAAAAAGCAGACGATTCACTCAACTCTTCTTTCAAGTTCACGATTCATGTTGTATTTTCTGAGCTTTGTAACTTCACGAGATTAGTTAGTGCTGCCATTTTTTTTATCCGGATATTTTGTGGATAAATTAAGAATATTTTAAATTCCAGCCCTTTTTTAATACAATGACAGATAAGAAACACACTTATGATTTTGCTGCTTGCAAAGTTGTAAAATGTAAATACGTTGCATTGACAGTAATGCAAAAAGTGCAAATTCTGCAAAAGAGGGAGGCAGGTGCTACTTCTCGGTTTATAGCAGAATCGTATGGAATTGCGACACGATTGTGTATGATATATGGAAAAATAAAGAAAAGCTGTTGAAATTTTACAGCAAGTGATTCTAACACCGGAATCCCAAACCGGAAATCTTTATACGAGGCGAAATCGGCAAACCTCCATGCTGTGTACATATAATAGAATTAATCTTAAATTCACTTAGTTCGAAAACAAGTTTTTCTAATACTTGCATAATAGCCTGCAAAGTAAGATAATAATAATTCCTAATCTCCTAATATAAATTTAGTAGAAGTATGAAAAAAGAGTGAACCCATATTTCGGAATTAAACTTCCTACATGGGTTCACTTTTTTTTGATACTTTTACTAAATTTATATTAGGAGATAATACAATGAATAATATAATCAATTTTTATATGTAATAATAATTTAATGCATATAATAAGTTATTGCAATAATGTATATAATAATTTAATTAAATGTATCTAATACGCCTTATTTATTTTGCACTTTTAGTCTGAATATTATGATTTATCTTTTCTGTCCTGAAATCCCCCGCACAACCTCTGGTCGTAGGCTTTGCAGATTTCTGGACTTCTACTGTATTGAAAAAACAATCTGATAAGAAATGGCTGCGACTTGTTTTAAAATGAGGCGTAAAAGGTTACCAGCAAGGATATTCTGTTTGGCATAGGTTGTACCATTATTGGCGACTTTATCGCTTGCGCCGGCAAAACGGAAAAATAACAATTCAAGATTTAAATAATCTTTGATTCAGCATGAAAGATTCTGTGCTTTTGATTCATGTTTTCGTGAACTTTTTTATCCCTCTTTGTATTTGCCTTTCATGCTGTTCCGATAATCATTACTTGTTTTAGATGTAAACCGACATTGTAATCAGCTGCAGAAGCACAATTTCCTTTTGTTTAATAATTATCAGATGACACATGATTTGAAATTAGAGTGCACATAACTTTGCTTAGCAGTTGCTTAATTTTGGTTTGATTTATTCATTTTGTTGTTAATTATTAGTTAGTGTTTTGTAATGTGAAGCAATTTTATAATTTATTCTGTTCTGCATTGATTTTATGTGTTAATTTTTAATGATTATTATTTTGCTTGTTTTTTCCAGTGCATTGTAATTTTTCTTAAAGGTACAGTAATTGTACGAGTTAAAATATACAGTCTATGGAATAGGTAAAAATGAACTTAAGTTGCAGTTTGGAATGAATTGGTTTTTAAGCCAGTGAAAAATATTAAACGTTTTCACTGTTTCGATGTTGCCATTGATTTTCTTGCAGTGAATCGAATGTCTAATTTTATAGATTATGATTTTGAATTTAATTTCTTAAATATTTATTTTTAGGCACTCTATGATGAAATAAATGCTACTGAGAAACTTTTTCTGCTCTTAACTGCTGTAGCAAGTAATGAGGTGGCTATTGAGGTAATTTTTCTTTTTATGGACTATAATTAAAATTTTTTATCTGGTTTTATGCATGTGAACATAAACACGTTATTGAATATTGATGAATAAAAATTAAAGGTTCTAGACAAAAAATATTACTCCCCCTTCCCCACAAAAATTGTAGTAATTGAAAATCTGAATTGAAACTTTCAAAGCATAATTTTTTATAGGTATGTTATAGCTGCCAACTATCTGGGAGACTTGAATTTTTAACATATCTCCTGGTAGATCACCTAATTTCCTGTGTTTTTGTTTTTACCTATAAAAATGTTTCCCAGTAAATAAGTGAAATTTAATTTGGAACTTAATTTGTGCGAATTCCATTCTCCATAAGTGTAGTGATTTTCAGCATAATTTTTCTTAATAAATTTTATTTCGTCTGAATTATCTTAATGTATTGTAAACATTCGTTAAAACTTTCATAAAGGTTTAAGCAGTGCATAATCAGTTTAATTTTGTTTCACATCAGTATATGGTACATTATTAGGTTAATCCACACAGTAGTGTGCGCATCTAATTTTATTTTCATTGTATTTAAAAATAATTTGATGAGTAAAAGATTTCCTTCTGTATTTAGGATTATCTAGTTGAAGAAAGAAATTAGCTAAAGAAGTAACATTTAATTAGTTATATATTAATATATTTTACATTGGACTTAAACTAAAAATTGTTCAACAACCTGAATATAAAATGAATTTATAGCAATTTGCAACTCTTTAAATGGTGCATCCGTCCAAATTGAAAACCTCCTAGGAACTCCCAGTTTTTATGGAAAAACTTATTCATATTTCAAGGTTGGCAGTTATGGTATGCATGTAAGTATATTTAACGAACAATAAATATTTGCATTTATTAATGGTGAAAATTATTTTGATACATAAGAAATATTAAATTAGAATTATGATGTAGTAATGGATGGAAGCATCTGCAGCAATTGATAGTTTCTTAAAACCATATAGTTCTAGTAAGGAGCATTTGCATTATGGCTGAAAAATTGCAGTTATTCCCATAAGGGTCATAGCATTATACATTCCTCATAAAGCTTTAGGCAATTTGAATCTAAGCTGTAACCAGCCAGTCAGGGAAAACTAACTGTACATGCTAAATCCATACAGATTTTTCTAGTGTTGATGCGAATTCCTAGTTTTAATGAGCGTACTTCATAAAAGAATTCTAAGACGTGAATGACGTCAGGTATTTTGTTATAATTGATTGAATTTCTTTTTGATTTTGCCCATCGTGTTATAAAACTAAAATACAGTCAAAAGGCGTTAATCCGGACTCGTCGGGACTTCGGCGATTCCGGATTATCGATTTTTCCGGATTATAGATCATCAATTTAAATCTGGTAAGATGGCATGAAAAAATTATAAAATTAAAAATATGAAACCGTAATTTATAAAATAAAGAACAATTATGATCTAAAGGGTATCAAAATTTACCAAAAAAAGCTTAATATTTGTTTGTTTACTTTATTAAAGATTTCTTTCAATGTAAGTTGTTTAAGTTGCTTTGTTTTTTATGTGATAATACATTCTCTTTAATTCTATAAACAGACATAATTTCTTGTTCAGTTACAAAGTTCCGCTGTTTTAGTCCCATAATTGCTGTGTCGAGAATACCGACTAATTTGTCAATCGAAATTATTTCGTTTTCAATAACCTGTGTTACTTTCTTCGCTATCGGAAGCGAATTATAATGACGAGGAATTTTATTTAAATCATATCAAAGACTGAGTACATCGAGATGAAATACTACATTTAGTAAGGAATTATAAGCCAAATAAAATAAAAACATCTGCCCTGAAGATAAGGATAGTGCTGACAGATCAACTTCCAATTCATTGCGCGCCGCGCGCGTTAAAGATAAACAAAGTTTAAATAAACAAGGATATGCCTTTATCCATTTTTTGCAGCAATTCCACTTTTTGTTTAATGGACTTCGAAACATACTTTCGCTTTGTAGATCCTTTACATATTAGTAAATATATATCAGAAATTCTATTTGCCATAATCGAAAGTTCAAGCTTACTTTTATAAAATTGCTCTAACAGTCTGCAAAAAATAATAAGCCGAATCCAATTCAAAGATTAAGGAACAACGCAATCTGCAACATTAACTGAATTAGATAATTTTAGCTTAGCTTATACCGTCCGTTATACATTAAATGCGCATTCGTAAACGTATTTTGGCAGCTGTCAAGGTCTTAAGCGCGACGCATGCGCTTTGAGGTCTGGATTATGGGTGTCCGAATTAACGACTTTTGACTGTATAAACCTTTAAAATCAAAGACCTTATACCCCATTTATTGACATGCAAGCTTTCACTGCTTAGAAATAAAGTTCATGCCATTTCTGATAGTTATGTCATTTTGAATCCTCTCACAGATAAACAACATATGCTTGAAAGTAGGTAGGAAAATTAATAAAATAGTTTCTTTGTATTTGATAATATATATTTATTTTTCTTGCAACAGCAAAAATATTTTGTCTATTAAGCATTAAAGTATATAACTGTTAACAGGGTTCGTAGTGGTCCTTATAAGTGTTTAACATTCTTTATATTTTAAAATAAAATATAAAAGTCCTTATCGGTGCTTACGTTTTCTCTAAAGCACTTATTATTTTTTTTCTAGTGCTTATTTTTTTCCTTTTAGTGCTTTTTTTTTTTTTTTAATGAAAGTACTTTGTTTCCCTGTACCAAAGCCGAAACTAAATAAGCAACTTTTTTTCCTTATATGGAACGTCAGATGGTGAATCATACTACAAGAAATAGCTTTTTGACCCTTTCTCTGCATTGACATAACCTTTGGTGTGCGCGAGTACAGACAGGTGCACGTTGCTCTATTGGTCAAAGAATTGCGAAAGCAGTAGAAAATTATGGTACATTCCGTATTCTTTTGCTCCCACCTAATACTATACACATTTGAATTTCTATCAAGATTTTAATAATTTACATTCTTTTTCCACGTGGTCAGTTCATATTCACGTTTATTATGATCGGTATGCTTATATTTTGAGCATATGTATGAATATTTATAATAATGTATTTGCAGTAACTGTTGAAGTATACATAAACTTCAAAAATGGGTGTTAACACAGATTAGTTTTCTAAGGAATAATATTCGGAATGGCATAAATAAAGTGAAAGTAATCGAATAGTCAAAATAATTTAAATTTTTGTTGGCCAATACATTATACAGTACGGAAGGTTGGGGAGGTTCTCCCCCTTTCTCCGCAAAATCTCGAATATTGAAACTGTTACAGTTTGCTGCAAAACAAGCAACGGACTTTTTTTTTTTTTTTTTGTTTGTCACTTTTCCAATTCTGGATTGAATAGGACTAAAGTTCTGCGGTCTACCAACCCAAGCGAAGAATGATTCTGTTCCTGGAAATTTAACACAGTCTGTTCAAAATTAGAATGAAAAACATCCCAGATTGGTAAATCTCTTTATTAATCAATATGAGTATGGGCAGGGATATCACGCAGAGCGCGATGTGTCTTGCTCAATGATAAATATGCCACATGGGGCTTGACCAAAGAATCTATAGGGGAATTCTAGTCTTTGGCTTGACGGTGAAAACCGAATGAAGGAAAGAGGCATTTTCCTTTATTTAGTTATTTATTCTCCGAATACCGGCAGCTGTTGATTTCAATTGCATAATACCATGTGTGGAAGAATTAAGGCGCACGTATTGCGCAATAATGTTTGCGATATTTCGCAGAGATAAGAGTTTTACTGTGCTTGCTAAGCAGATTATTTTTCAGTTCCATTGTGCTATTTTTTATATGAAGCACATATTAAAGTGTCAAAAAGCATTATTTAGCTGAAAAATCTTAAGAACGGCTACAATCTACCCCCCTTCCTCATTTACCAGTTACGCTAGACTATCCGGAATTTTCAGATATTCGGCAATTTCCGAGTATGCCGGTTAGATAAGCTTTTACTGTTAAAGGATGACTGCATGAAGCATTTTCCCATCTTCTGATTTCAGAAAAGTTGCCTTTTTTTTACTTATTCTTACTTAAATTACTTTGCTTGCAATAGCAAAAACTGTAATACAATGAAAATTTAGAAAATGTTCAGAATTTTGATTTAAGTTAAATTATTTAAATATTAATATGAGTGGAAATATAAATTGTATTTATTTTTAGGTGCCAAGCGAATATAATAAATATGGCTTATTAGTATTTATTTTCTCTATTTTGAGCTAAAATTTCATCATTAAATCTTGTAATATAATTTAGTTCTGCATAGTTTTTTTTCCCCCTCTCATTGTGAACTAGTTCTGTAAATTGAACTGTTGTTTAAAATTAAAAAAAAAAAATTTAATTGTTTTCCATGGTTGAATAATGCTTGTTTGCTCTTAATAAGTACTGAATTTCTCATATTTTAAATTACACTTCTAATTTTTCTTTTAAAGTTATGCAGTTGTGTATAATGTAATTAGACAGGTGCTTATTTATTTTCTTAAAGTGTGCGTGAAAAGTGCTTATAGGTCCTTATTTTTTAACTAAAATGTGACTAGAATTCAAGCCCTGTGTTAAATTTCAAAGATACTGTCTTTTGGCTTTTAAAGATGGTATATTATATATCGGATGTGTATTGTTTAATTTCAAATAGAGATCTAGATTGTTTTTTAAGTTAAAAAAATTAAAGAACATTTTAAATACTGACAGAAGTAAGAATGTTTTTGCTTATGAAGGTGACTCAGTGTTTCAGAAAAGCTTGGGAATGTACACTCTTTTGCAAAAAAATCGAAGCACCATGAAAGAAGTAGTTTTTGATGAAATTGAATATGTGTATAGCTCATACACAGATAATAAAATGATTAAAAAATCAAGGCCATTGAGAACGTACCTGTTCACGGCTCACAATCACCTATTGAGTGTTAAAATTGGTAGTTGGTCGAACCACCGTTGGTAGCAATGCATGCTTGAATTCTTCGAGGCAAGGAGTGGTAGAGGTTCCTAATGTCA